TTCAAATTGGCGTTGAAAGTTGAAAGTTGAAAGTTGAAAATTGAAAATTAGTAATTTTTTTTTTACGATTTTTTTAAAACTATCGCTAAAATTTATAATTAGTGACTTTTTTGTGAAAAAAATTTCAAATTATCGCTGAAATTAACAATAGTAATGCTTTTTAATAGTATTTGATGAAAAAGTGTCGTTAATTATCATAAGACGTATTGGACAAAAAAATCCACCTATTAGGATCTACACATAAGTCCCCTTATATATTATGTTACCTAAACTTGTTAATTAATATATAATCAAATATGTTTTTAATTATAATTTAGCCTTTATTTGAAGGGCCTTAAATAAATTAGGAGAAATTAATGAAACAACTCTCTCCAACTTTGGATAGTAGAAGAGGTGCAATATGTTTTTTTTATTAGCTGAGGTCCCTCAATGAAATTTCTCTATGATCATACTAGAGAAATTTTGAAATTTCTTTATGATCAAATTTCGCAATGTCGAGGAGAAAATTTCTTTGTATTGAATTTTCTCTGTGAAAATGTTGAGAGAACCTAACTACTATAAAAATATTATATGTTCCCTATCTTATAAAATTTTAAAATCAGTAATCTTAAAAAAAATTTCCTCAACTATCATATTAAACCTAATATATGAAGATATGTATATATTAAATCACGAGACATTAGTAGTCTAATTTAGAATATTAAAAAACATATCAAGTTTTAGTCAATTATCCCAAACGTTATGTTACTATTCTATTGTTTTTATTTTTTACAAACTCCCACGTTAGTAGTCTAATACAATTGTTTTCAAGTAAGATGGCATGACTTCAACACTCCCACAATAGTTGAAGGTTTAAACTCTAACAAAGATAGAGATATTGTAGGATGATTCGTGTTAAAAAAAAACAAAACAAAAAAAAACAAAAAAACAAGAAAAAAAAAAGGGGGGGAGGGGGATTGCAATCCCTAATATCGCCTATCCACCCAGGACATGGCGTCACTGTTGTATGTAATGTACAGTGCGGCTTATGAGACTCGTTTTGAGTCTTATTTTGACGATTTAAACTGTTTAAATTTTAAAAAATATTGAGAAGAATATACTTATAAAAAATCAAGTTGATCGGATATTGATAACCTTTTATCAAATTATATTTGTATTCAGTTTGATATATACATATTTATTTTTTATATATACAAATGTAATCCATTCAACTTGATTTTTTTACAGATATATTCTTCTCAATGTGTTCTTAAAATTTGAACAGTTTAGATTATCAAAATAGAACTTAAAATAAATCACATGGGCCGCACAATAGTCAGCGCTGCGCAGCACACACAACAATGACCCCAAGTCCATTCCGCCACTCTCTTCCCCTCCCTCCAAGTAGGGAAAATTATGTTTTGTTCCTAGGGCATGGTGATTTTGTGCTCCAACTTGATTTTTATTGGTTGAAACAGTGGAACCCACCATCATTTTGGTGCTGTTTGGTGTAGCTGTTAAAACAGATTATAAATTATAGCTTAACAGATTATAGATTATGACTTTAATCAGAAGCTGTTAATCTGTTTGGTATAGCTGTTGGATTATAGATTTAAGTTGCTGTGTAGTGTTTGTTAAATAAGCTGTGAAGTAACTTTTTCAATTAATTTTTATTTTTTATTATTCACTATTTGTCTACATTTTTCATAAAAAATAATAATAATATTTTATAGTCCATTTGGGTCTTTTTCTATTTTTAAAAAAATAAAAAATAAAAAAATCTAAGAGTATAACTGTGAATTAATATGTCAACAGCAGAAGCTGATAATCAGAAGCAAGGGGTGAGCAGCTTCTCAGAATCAGCTTTTTTGACTTAAAATAAGTTGTTAGAATCAGAAGCTGTTTGAAATAAGTTTAACCAAACAGTCTAAAATAACTTTTTAAAAGCCAGAAGCCATAAGCTGGCTCAAAAAAGCCCCACCAAACACCCCCAATTGTCTCTTTTTTGGAGACAAAAGGACACTTCTCCTTCAATGAATGGTATGGAGCAATGCTCCAAGACTACCCAATAACTTCTCCGCAAGTAGGGGTGGACATTGCCCCGTTGGCCCATCCGATCCAGTCCTATTTTTTGAGGGTTTAGAAATATTATTTTAACCCATAGCGCTGAGCTAAGCAACATTTTCAGCCTTGATATATTAATGGATTGGGCTTGGGATTTATACTTTCAACCTGGCTCGGTCAGGCTCTCTATTAAATTAATTATTTATAATATAATAAAATGTATATTTTTTGTTGGGATTTAGACTTTATCTTTGTTTATTAGAAACTTACATTTGTGGTGATGTGTGATTCGACTTATTTAAGAAATCCTTCAATTTATATACAAAATTTTTCAATTTATATTGATGTCAGTATATTTATTTAAGAAATATAATATTTGATTGAATTTAATTATGAAATGTTTTAAAGAAAATTTAACATATAGCCCTATGAGTTGATTTGAGATTTATAATTATTTTTTGGGTCAAGCTTGGGCAAATGATAAAGTCCGATGTTAAGGTAAGCAGGGCTTAGGTAGACACAAAATTCTTTATTATATAGTGTCGGTTCAGCCCAAACCCAACTCGGCACGGCACGGCCCGGCCTGACTCGACTGGATGAAGACCCACCCTACCCCAAGTTAAAATAGATTAGGGCTAACTACATGGACCACTCTTGAAGTTTTTAAATTTACACTATCCTCCACTATTTTTAATAACAATATACATAAACCTCCGCACTTCCATTACCTAACATGTTTATGCATCTCAAAATTTAACCCTTCTTATCAACCAACCCATGAAACACAGACAACTCTCCGAAAGCAACGTATGGGTGTCCAACACATATCGGACACAGACATGCATCGAATACGCGGTGGATACGTATCGGACACTTTACCTAATGTGTCTCCCTTTTTCTTTTCTTTTTTTTGCAGCCAGACACTCTCGGACACGTTATGGACACATTGGAGACAAAAACCCTACCCCATTGGAGAGAGAGAGAGAGAGAGAGAGAGAGAAACCCTAACAATTAAAGACAGAGACAAAGATAGAGACATAGAAAGAGAAATGGTGAAAAGCCTGCTGAAGCCCTAGATCGAGATTAGATCGAGGTGTGTTCTTCCAATATGTGTGTTTGACTCGGTGCTCTCTATTCGTCTTCCTCGAACTTGTTCATCTTCTTCAAATCTTTGTTTTTTCGTCTCTCTCTCTCTCTCTTGCTGTGTTTGTCTCTCCCTCTTTCTCTGTTCGATTCTCTTTCTCTTGCTTCTTTGTTCAACTCTCTCTTTCTCTCCTCTTCTTTGTGTTTGACTGTCTGTCCTCTCTCTCATTTTCTTTTCTTTTTTTACCTATTTTATTTTTAGTAACAAAAAAATCTTTTTTTTTTCCCCTCTTTTACTTTTTTTAATATTTTTGTTTGTTAAACATTAATTATTTTTATTTGTAAAAAAAAATATTTTATGAATGATATTTGATATTAAAATAAATAATAAAAGTAAAAATAATGTATATTTTAATTTTACATAGAATAAATATATATATAAATATATATTAAACGTGTCATCAACGTGTCGCGTTTCTCATTTTTTAAAAATTTAAATATTCACATGTTCGTATCGTGTCACGTGCCCGTATCCGTGTCCGTATCCGTGCTTCATAACAACCAATGCTCCAACCCATTGTATTCTCATAACCAAAACAAACAACTCCAATATAATCATTACAAACAGACCATTTTCTTCTTCTCTTCCCCCTCCCTCTTTTCCTATATCCTTCCTCCGCCGACAATGGCACCACGATCAACTCCTCTAGCAGTAGCACTACCACCTCTTCTCTTGCCACCGCCATCGAACCACCCCATTCCCCTCCACCCAAATCACTTCCCTCCCACCCCAACCAAGGTCCCTTTGTCCCTCTCTATCTTCTCTCATCTTCATCTCACCACCTCTCCTCCACAGCTATAATCACCACTCTCTGGCATTGATTTTGTTTTGTTTCACTAATTTTTCTTAATTTCTGTGTGCATATATATATGTTATATAGTTGACATTTTACGGTTTAAAGGTGGTGAGAAGCTACGAGTATGGATTTTGGTGCTGGGTTTGTGGTGTGGCTCAACACTGAATTGCTTTGCGGAGGTCGTGGTGCTGGGGTTCTTTGTGTGCTTGGTCTGGTTTGTGGATTTTGGTTGATGGGAAGTGTGGCTAGATGGAGGAGGGATAGTTCAGAGGGTTGGGTGGGGGTTGGGCCCTTGAAAAGTAGTGGGCAGTGTACAGTGGAGTTGGAGGCGTTGGGTGGAGTTCGTTGACCTTTTGATTGGCAATAGCTTTCAATTTCAACTGGATTCTATCTTCTCTTTTCTTCAACATCAAGACCTCAAAGTGATGGTAATTGGTGGGAAGAGAGATGAGTTGGGTTGTTTGGTCACAAATTCAATGAAGGAAAAAATTTAATGTCTTTGTTTGGACATAAATATATTATGACAAAAATTTAATTTTGCGAGGGTAAGAGTAAATCATATTTTTGACTCCAAGTCTAACGAGGGAAGGCAGTGTTATTTCAAAGTTCAGATGAAAAGCCATTGTATATCAGAAACTTCAAAAGAGATACGTAAAATTAACCCAATAAATTTATAAACAACAATAAGTGCTTAAAATCATGATTTAAGCACATTATATAGCAACTGTAATAACTCGATCGTAATTCGACATTGTATCATAACTCAACCACATTATAACTAGTTATTGGCATAATTTCAACCAGAACTTCATAGTGTACAACTATTACAATATATAAAGTGGTTATAGTGACAAATTTAAAATGTGTAGTTAGAAGCCCCCCATATAAGAGGGCAGAAAATGAAGGAACATGATTTTTGACGTCACATTGACTGAAATTTACCAATCGTTGTTGGCTAACAGCAAAAATGAAAAATAAAGATAAAATTGCAACAGTATTAATCATTTACATATTTCATTGATAACCAAACTAACTCCAAATAAGCATTTTATATACCCAGCAACAAGAAGTTACATATTGTTTATACTATCTATCATATGAACTATGTCCCTCCTAGATAACTAGATCAAAGTCTTAAAACCCAAAAAAGGTTTGGAAGATGTTACAATTGTGCACCCTCCATAACAATTCTGAAAAACACTTCTACATGGTTTATAGATTCCAAAGCACAAATGGTTAAGAAAATAACAAAACAACATTCAAATTTAACGTCTGTAATCATCTTCCAGCAGTTAGAATAAGCTCCGGCAGTGAAAACACTCTGATGTATTGCTGCACAATACCCTCTTGTGAAAAAACAAGGTTGGATTGGCAAGAGACTGAAAACTGGATGATATCGCGCAAAAAAAAAACATTGATGCAACCATTGCCTAAGGGATAGTGAAACAGTTTGGTGGGTTGTAAACTAGACCGACAATATGCTGCTTATTTCTTGTGCAATCAAGTTTCTTCAACTATGTCAAGTAATACCCATTTAAATTGTCAACAAGATAGTCATAGGGTGCACCTGTTCCATAATCAAACCCTTCGCTTGTAGGCGGGACCACTCGGTTTGGACCAGAATAAATATTTCCAACACCGTCCTTCAAAGAAGCCTTTGTCCTCCCCTTCACAGATCGCTTGTTATCTGAGGGAAACTCAGCAGTGAGCCTTCCCATCTGTTTCTGCAGATCAGCAAGTGAAACATTTGTTATTTTACCTTTTGTACTCTTCTTCCCATCAAGAAGCTTGAATTCCAGCCTATACAAGGCACAAGCATCACATTTATTGATCTCATATTCATAAAGGTGCCACTCAAAATCTTTCCTAGGTTGGGGATCCATGTAATAAGATCTCTTCAGCCCTCCAAATTCATTCATCACTTGCTTCCTTGACTCGTGCCAACCGCGTCCATTATAATCTGGCAGTGATCGTTGCTTTCTATTCCCACTCTCAAATGCTCTTCGAGGCTTATCAAAAAAGAGCCACTCCCTAATTGTTTCAATCTCGAGGACTCTAAGATCAAAGAGCTCTGCAATAGCCAATTGCAATAATAATTACACAAGTTCCACACAACTTAGCAGAGAGAGAGAGAGAGAGAGAGAGAGAGAGAACTTACCAGGAGCATTCCATGGTGACTTCGCAGTCGCAGCCCCCTCACATTCTGGAATACCAACCTCTTTTCCCTGTGCTTTTGCACTAAGAGCGGCAAAAAGCAGACCGTCTTTCAGGCCAATGCCCCCAGGTCGCAGAACAGGAGACATACCAGGTGGGCCTTCATTCAATGCAAGTGCTGCATGAAAACTACTGCAATAATCCAATCCTTGAGCAGGCCTGGGACAATCCCAAAGTGCACATTTTGGTCCCAAGAAAGCAGAAGGTGGAGGGCAAATGTTTGGCAAAAAGCCAGGATGATGCATAGCTTCCTCTTCATACAAAACAGTAGTACCGTCAAAATCAGAGAAGAAGTTCTGCTCGAGGTCTTGATGTAAATCATATGCATGGTAGTCCAACTGAGAAGGAAACCCTAAGGTATGAACTCCCATGTTTTGAACTACTGAAGGAGAGCCTTTGCATTGATCAACCAGGTGGAAATCTTGTCCATCGTGCCCCTGATTCATGTTAAAGCCCTGCAGCAAATCCATTGCACAAATTCTCAGCAAGAATCTATGCACGACCCTCGCAAACTTTTCTTAAGAGAAAAAATTCATTAAATCAGATAAAAATAGAAAGAGATCGCTTGAAGGAGAAAAATAAATAACATCCATTTTTATTTTTTTTAACCAGACAAGGAAACGAAATAAGAGGGGTCAAAGTTTCAAAAGTCTTGTGAAATAGACCCCTGCAGGTGGAACTTCATATAAAGCAAAGTTGGTGGCAGAATAATGAGAAATGAAGTTTAGAAATAAAAAAAATAAAAAATAAAAATGGAAAGAAATAAATTTACGAAAGGGAAACTAAGCACACAATAAGGCTCCATTTGGGAGTTAGCTATTTTAGTTGGTTTTTTGACTTTTTATAAAAAGACGTGCAAAGAGTAGATAGAGTAATGTGACAACTTATAATGACTTTTTGGCTACAAACGTAAGTTCCCAAATGGGGCCTAAGCATAGATAAAAACAGACGATGGAGATTATGATGCATACAAACTTATTATAGTATGCAAATGCGGAAGTAGAAACCTAAAACAACTAAAGCTATGTTTGGTACACAGGAATGGAATGACAGTGAGGACGGAATACAAGGTTGAATGGAATCGAATGGAATGCCCATTCCCATTCAATTGTTTGATTACCAACATGGAATGAAGTAGAAATGGAATGAGATCTCATTCTCATGTTTAATTATGCCTACTAAGTTAATGGAATGAACATGAGAGATTTTTCTCTCTTTCTTTTTTTATTTTTTAATCAAACTATTAACAACCAAACCAAATACCTATAGATGATGGTGCGGGTGGTAGTGGTGGGGTGGTGATGGTGGCATGTTGTGGTATGGTGGCATTGATGGTGGTAGCAAAGGCAGCGGTGGCAGTCATCGTGGTGGTCGCAATGCTAATAGGGTGGTAATGGTGGTAGGATGGTGATGGTAGTGAAGTGACAATGGTGATGATGGTGCTTAAGTGGCAAGGGTGTTGGTGGCGGTGGTAGTGGTGGTGGTGGTAGGATGGTGGTGGTGGATGTGGTCTATGAAGCACGAACACCTCTTTCAGCCTCATTTATCAGTGTCCGAGATGTCTTCGACATGGACACACTCCGAACAAGTGTCAAACACGCCCCTATAAAGGTGTCTAAATATTTTATTTTATTTTTTTGTGCAAACATGATGAAGGGACTGTGAAGCAAAGTCCCACATTCCTAAGTACTAAAGCAATATTAAGTATATAAGTATAAGGACACCCTCACCTTAATAGCTAGCTTTTGAGGTGAGTTCTACCCAAGATTGTGTAACACGGTATCAGAGCAAGAATACACATGAATGGGTAGGGTACGTGCCCCAGGCCTGCACGCCACAGGTGCTGCTGAGTGAACAAGCTAGGCATGAGGGAGGGTGTGAACTGAAGTCTCGCATTGCCTAAGTACTAAAGTAATATTAAGCATATGAGCGTGAGGGAACCCTCACCTTAATAGCTAGCTTTTGGACCCAAGACCGTATAACAAAGACATCAAACATGCTAGTGGCCACGTTATAAGAGTACGAGACAAGCTAGGCCATTTTTGAAACTGTAAAAAATAACAGTGGAGTCAAGTTGTAATATAAAAAAACCTATACAAAAAGCCCAAATCTGAAGCCCCAAGCTCATTTGAATGCTTTATCATCAGTCGATATACAAAGGACATAAAAAAAGAGAATCATCAGTCAATACACAAAGGACATAAGAAAAGAGAATGGGGGTCATCAACATTAGAGGAGGAGGACTCTCCAATTTCCTCATTTCTCTCTTCATTTGACCAAATAATTTTTTTATATTTTTTTTCAAACAGTCAACATGATTTCTTTTTTCATAAGCCCTAAGCCCACTGAAATTGAAGGTTGTCTAAAGCTATATCACAAATCCTCTCTTTTCTCCCTCTCTAATATTGTGGGTATTGTTAGTTTCTTGGGCACTGTTAGTAGTGCTATTCTTCTTCTCTCTAAGTTGTCGCGGATACTTATACACTAGTGGCCTTGAGTACTCTGTTATAACTGTGGTATTACTCTCCTCTCAATTATAACTGTGTACTCTCTTTTCTTTGTTATATTTGTCGTGACATGCATGTGTTATACGTGCGTATTTTTATCCCTAATTTGATTGAAATAATGTTATTTTTTATATATGAATTTACAACACATATTTATGTATATTTTATTTAACATATTCTTTTTTGGTGTCCTAATTGTTATAAAAATGTCATGTGGCATGTCTGTGTCATGTCACGTTCATGTCGTGTGTTTGTATTTGTGCTTCATAGGTTGTGGCTGTAGGGTTGATGGGAGTGGTAGGGTGGTACTAGTGGTGGTAGGTAGCAATGTTGGTAGGATGGCGGTGGTGGTTGTAGTGGTAGGGTGGTGATAGTAGGGGGAGGTGGGGTAGTAGGATGATGGTTGTGGCAGCTGCGGTGGTGGTGGTAAAATGGCAGTTGCAGTGGTGGTAAGTTGTGGTTGTGGGTAATGGTGGTAGCGATGGTAATAGGATGGTAGTGGTGGTGGTGGTGGTGGTGGTGGTGGTAACTGTTGGCGGTGGCGTTTGTAGTAGGATGATGGTGCTAGTGGTGATGGCTATGGTGGTGGTACTAAGGTGGCAGTGGTTGTGGCGGTGGTAGTAGTGGTGTTGCAAAGGGTGGAGGTGATACAAAAAGGGGATAGTGGTGGTAGCCAACAGAGAGGAGTCCAACAAACATTGTTTTGGAGTGATTTCATGATGGAACTGAATGCCTATTTCTTTGGTGTGAGAAAGGAATAGGTTTTCCCACTTTTATTGGAATAGTCATTCTAATGAAATGGCTATTTCCACTTAGGTCATTCCAATCCATTCCATCATATCAAAGATGCTCTAACAAAAAGAAATGTTCCATAATATGGGTAAGAGGTTAAAAATATTCCAAGTAAATCAATAAATCAATAAAAATCATATATAGGACATTACATAACAATTTAATTATGTCACCTAGGTAGAAAAAATAAAATAAAACTTATGCACTACCAAAAAATTACAGGGTATCCTAACTCAAAATGATCTTCAACAAGATATAAATACATGTTATAGACCATATAGACCAAAATGATAAGACCCATTCAAAAGCTTGATAAGCAATAATAGATATTCAGAGAGCCAAAAAGGAAATGAGTGACAAATGGAGGAAAGTTCTAAAATTTATATGTATAATGACAATGGATATATTCAAAGATCACCAACCATTCCGTCGGTTATAGATCATTATATAAAAAATCCCTAAAAGAGTAAGTGAATAACCAATCACAGACAAACAGAGGGACAGGCACAAACATGATATGGACAGAGGAAATTATATTACAACTTGTCAATGCAACACAGGTTACAAAATTTCATCTACTGCCAAAGATTGCAGGGTATCATACTCAAAAAGATATTCAAAGAGATATGCATACACACGTTTTCGAACACGAACACAACACCAGTCAAAAGCTTGACAAGCAATAACGGACAGTAGAAGTTGGCTAAAATGGACACGCTTTGAATGAAGGAAAGTGTTCATGTTTGGGAACCAAACATTTTAGCCAAAAAAGAAATACAAGTTGTCAAATCACTCTCTAATTTTTTGCATGTCTTTTCGTAAAAAAACCACTAAAAAGCCAATTCCCAAACAAGCATATATATATATATATAATGACAACAGTGATATACTGATAATCCAAGTTGCACCTAACCATTGCATCACCCATGCATCTTCCTACCAAACTATCGAAGAGAATATCAAGCACACTGACAATAAGAGAGACAGAGAGACAAGGATATAGACAGATACAGACATAGACAGCAGAGAGATTATTGGATAACTAACTTTCAAACCAAAAGTACATACAGCATTAGTTTTTAAAAAGCTAACGAAGACGTCCATATCACATGTATTTATTTTAAAGGATATCACAAAGTAAATAATGCAGTAAGGTTCTAAAAGAAAAATAGTAAGAAATACATAAAATTGATGCAACAAGACAGTTTCTAAACACAACAGGGAAATAGGAACATTGCATTGTATTCTTGGCCCATCACTTTGCATGAATTCCTACAATTCAGATTTAAATAATAGCTTAGAATTATAGAGGCATTCTAGAGCAAACAGAACTTTGTGTTTGCATATCTTATCAAATTCATGGGTGCAAAAAACAAAACAAAACAAAAATATAAAATTATATACCTCTTGGAACCGGGTACTATCCCCAACTTTTGGGGCATCAGGCTCAGGCTTCGGGGCAGCTAATGCACTGGTCGCATCATCTTCTTCCTCACAGAGTTGCAGAAGCCGATAAATGTCCGACGAAAATGACCCGAGACTCCCACCCTGCAAAATCATGCATTTTTATTCCAAATCACAACCCAACTCACAATTTACATATTCAACAAAAAAATAAAAAATAAGAAAACCAACCGCCCATTATCATTACAATTCACAATTATGCATTACACACAAATATACATACATACATATATACATACATATATCATAAGGGCATAAACAGAAGATGTTAACCTGCAAAGAAGAAGCTGGTGAAGGTTCGTTGAGTTCAGATTTCCACTCTCGAAGCATCTGATGCACTTGCTCTTCAAGCACAGCCACATCGATCGTACGGCTCTCCTTCCTCGCAGACTGCAGATCCGTGAACATGCCTTGAAGATCATCCACGCGATTCTTGGCCCTATCCTTGAAGATCTGATGCGACGCGGACTTACACCCACCACTCTTCGACCCTTTTCCCATCACGACAAACCCTACAAAACCCACAATTCAACTGTCTCAATCTCAATTTCGCAATCAAAACCCTAATTTAGATTAGACGAAAACCGTACAATTCAACAAGGACTATTCGAAATTGTGGGTAAAAAACAAGAGTTAGAGACATCAATCAGAGATTCAGAATGGGAAAGTCTGAGGAAACTAAAAATGGTAAAAATTTGAGGACCAAAGATTGATTGAAAGAAAAAGTGTTCACTTGTACCAATTTCAACACCGGAAAGTCCTGAGCCGATGAGAGAAGAGATTGTGGTTACGTATATTTATGTTAGAGAGAGAAAGTTGAGGGGAGAGAGAGAGGAGTGTTAGAGTGTTTGTTTGTGCTGTTCTTGTCTCTTCTCTTCACTCTGTCCTTTCTCTTTTCTTCTTCTCTTCTCTTCTATGCAGAGCAGAGTCGTCTTTTGTATTCCACCCAGAAAAAGCAATGTGTACGCGGCAAAAGCTTGAGCAGAATTTATACTGGATATGATTTCTCGGTTATACCCTTGACTTTGCCTTTAAATTACTGTTATAACCTCCATGTTCACGTGCTTCTCATGTATGATTCTGCCTCGTCTGAAAATAGGTTAATTTATGTGTTGTTTGGGATGACATAAATAAGTGTATTTTTTGTCTTTTTATAAAAAGATATGCAGAAAAGTAGAGAGATGATATGATAGAAAAAAGATAAAAAGTGTGTACTTATTTTGGATTGCCAAACTTAGCCTTAATAATTTTTTAATTAAAATCTGAAATAAAACAATTAGGATTGTTTTTTTAATTTTTTATGAAAATATTAAAATAAAAAATAGGGAGAAATGAAATTTTTAATTTTTTTTGTATAGATTATTTATTTTTTAGTTTTTTTAGATCTCGTTTATCAATTATATATTTTAGTTAAAAAGTCGAAAAGTCATTATAAGTTGTCACATCATTCTCTCTACTTTTTTTCACACCTTTTCGTAAAAAATTAAAAAGTTATTAAAATAATAAGTTGCGTTTGGTAGAGTTTTTAACTTTGATTTGAGAGTATGAGTTGTATTTTGAGTTTGTGAGTTTTGGAATTATGATTTGAGTGTAGAAAATTTGTTTAGTGAAAAAGTTTTGAAATTTTTTTTGAATTGATTGGGAAATTTTTGATGTGACATTTGATATTTGATACAAAAATTTACATCTAATAACCAAACATACAACTCAAAATTCTATTAAATCACATAAAAAAAATTTAAAAATTTGGAAAATATTTTTTTCGAATATATAAAAATTAAAATATCAATTGCAAAAAAAAAAAATTGCACTGTTCCGATCAACCGGCCGGACGACCGGTGTGACGTCTAGTGGGAAGACCGGTTAGGCCAAAATTTTTTTAAAAAATATTGAAAATCATGCTCTTGAACAAAGTTTTCTGCAGAGTTGTTGAAAATTAATTCCACATACATATCCAAACATCATATTCAAATGTGGGAGTAGAAAACTCGTTTGGAAATCATTCCAAACAGAGCCTATATTCCCAAATGAGATCATAGTGACTTTTTAACTTTTAAATTAAAATAATGAGTTGTCGAACGAGACCTTAACCCATCAATTATATTGGACTACTTATTTCTTTGGACCTCCACTTATAAATTTTAAAACTCTTAAAAAAAATTTCTTTCCCCAAATAATACTAAAACTTTTTTTATAAAAACATTACACCCATTTAAATGCCCACCCCCACATCCTAAAAAACTTATCTCCCAAAACCCTCAACAAATTTGTTGATTTAAAATTTGAAAATTGCTGATATCTGTTTGTGGGTTTTGTTAGCTGATCATTTTCATGGCTCTTCAATGCTTAAAGGAGTTAAAAATATCACACTAGCTAAAACAATAATAAAACTTAATTTAAGAGTTATGACGCTCTGTTTTTGAATTGTGATGTTTTCTACTGAATTCTTGATTTGTTATTCTGGAATGTTTCTCAATTCTTATTTTTGTAACTTCTTTATGGGTGAATTTGTATATATATAGTGCGTGTTTGAAAAGTTATTATTTTTAGTAGGTTATTTTAGTTTTTGGCTATTATAATAGGATAAAATTTTTGTGTTTAGAAATATAATTGAATTTTTTTTATAGTTAGATGTGATATTTGTAATTATGGATTTGATGTGACATTTTATCTTATTAATTATTTTGGCCTATTTTGTGTTTTTGTAGACTTTATCCTAAATTGGGCTAAAATCTCACTTCCCAAACAGCCTTATAATGTTAGACAATTTTCACTGTATTCGAAGAATGGATTCAAAAATGAGAGATTGTTTACAAAAAACAAAACGAAATATAAAACCAAGAAAAACATATTCTTATTTTGTTATAGAAACAAAACAGAATCTGAAAAAGAAAAATAAATAAAAACAAAAAAGAAAACTAATTACTTACAGTATTATTTTCTCATATATTTGGGTCAAGTCTAGTCTTCAACACTGTCTCCTTAAGATAGATTCGTCCTCTCTAGGGTGCTCACAGATTATGGACGTTTATCTCCCAAGATGAAATGATCTACAATGAACAGTAGCAGCACTACAAACTGTTTGCACAGCAAACACACTCTATGTATATACTCTTTCACAGAGAAAATAAATGCAGCAAAATGCAAAGAGCAATAGCAGAAGCAAGAACGAAAAAATTGATTGTAAAATCCAAATGAGGGACTGACTATTTATAAGAGAACTGGTGGCTTTTCAAAACAGATTTCAACAGGTAAAAAACCTGTTCGAGATAGAGTTGAACAGGTAAAAACCTGTTTGGATAGATTTGAACAAATAAAACCTGTTCAGGTTGAATTTAAACAAGTAAGAACTTGTTTAGTTTGCAGGAATAGGTGCATTAAACCAAATTGCTAACGTTCAGAAACATTGGGGTCAATTCGAAATTAATTTTGAAATTTAAAACCGAAATTCAAATTACAAACAGTAAGAATTTAATTTTAAAAAAAAATAAAATTCAAATGTTTTTGCCTAAAAAGATAAGCATTGGGCCAGACAAGCCCAATCCAACCTCATGCCACGTACCCACGTCCAAGCCTAGCCCAACTGACTGGACGAACGGCGGTGCGCGTGCGCGTGTGTGTTTGTTTTGGGCTCAATGGGTCTAGCACACTTTGCCCATAACCTCACCCTTCCACAAAACTTGGATACCCCTTGGGGCCCTACTCAAGATGCAAACCCAAGGCTTATAAACCCACACCAAGTTTGCCCATTACAGCAATGTGGGACAGACCTTAACTCAATCCTTTATGGAAACTTCACCAAAATACCATTTTCATAAAACTCATTTTGGCATCAATTTCCCATTCACCCGACAATAGTTTTGAGCAACCAAATATACGACGTGAATCATTACGCGGCAAAAAACGCGTTGCAACATAGACCCGCCAACTTTGGCACATAGGTCCCACCTAAAAATTAGACCAAGGTTTAAGAAAAATATGTTTTTGCCAAACTATTTTTCTAAACCATTTCTTATAATCCCCCACATGAATAGAATTTGATGACAAAGAAAATGCAACAATATACAAAATTTGTCAAAAGAGTATAAATCGAAAATATCTTGTATCAGGATAGGGATTTTTCGGCCTTGACCCTTCCCTAGTGATAACCTATCGGACTTACTAGCTAACCAATGGACGCGATGACTTGAATTGTTCAGTCGTTAGTGTAAGCCAAGACAATAAATTTCACACAAAATATCTTCTGACACATCGTGGTTCTCACGGTTGTGTTCATTTTGACCTTGAACGCTCCTAGCTGTTCGTAAGTGTTTTTATAGAATGTAGCATCTTCATTCTCATAGAACCGGCCCCCATTTAACACTCATATATGTGATTCTTATTGTGAGTATCTCTTATACTCGTCTTGATTTTTATGCATATATAAAGATATAAGTAATCATTAAAAACAAAGCTTATCCTTAAACTTCTGCATACAACACATGTTGTAGATATCACTCTCACCATAGGAATATGTAGGGAATTTTAATCCCTTGGTGATTTCTGGCAAGCCACCCATAACTTAGTTGTTCCTTTGAACTTTATTCGTGGGATCTCCAGCCATCTAAGTAGAGTTACTATTATGATGACTCTTATGTAATAGGCCTTAATCACATCCCCTTCAATGAACTATACACTTGCTCTTTTGCCAAACCTTTCGTTGACGGATCCGCAATATTCTCTTTAGATTTTATATAATCTATTAAGATTATTCCACTTGAGAGCAATTGCCTTATGGTACTATGTTGACGACAAATATGTCATGACTTACCATTATACATATGATTTTGTACCTTGCCTATTACAGATTGACTATCATAATGAATGCAAATAACTGGCGCAGGTTTTGGCCACATTGGAATGTCTTCTAAGAAGTGACGAAGTTATTCTGCTTCTTCTCCTACTTTATCTAAAGCGATGAACTCGGATTCCATTGTGGATCATACGATGCATGTTTGTTTCGTAGATTTCCAAGAAACAACAGCACCTCCCAGAGTAAAGACATATCCATTAGAAATTTTGAATCTTTAATATCAGATATCCAACTGCCATCACAATAACCTTCTAGTACTGTAGGATATCGAGTAAAATTCAAACCATGATCACGAGTAAATCTTAGATATCCAAGAACCCGAATGATTGCTTTCCAATGGTCTTCTTCCGGGTTACTAGTGTACCTGCTCAATTTACTGACATCATAAGCTATAAAGGATACGTGCAATTCATTAGGTACATTAGACTTCCAATGACTTAGAAGTATTTTAACTGAGATACCGTATCACCTTTATTTTTCGATAAATAAAGACTGATGTCTGCAGGTATTCTTGCTACATTCACATCATCCTTGATATATATACCAAGAATTTTCTCAATATAATGAGATTGTGATAATACATATCCATCAGATGTTTTAGTAATTTTCATTCCTAATATAACATCTGTGACTTCCATATCTTTCATATCAAATCTTTTATTCAGCATTTACTTGGTTGATTTGATCATGTTTTGATTGTTTCCAATGATAAGCATGTCATCTACATAAAGATAAATGATAACATAACATTTGTCAGTGCTTTTAACATAGACACACTTGTCACATTCGTTTATCTTAAACCCATTAATAAGCATAGCGTGATCAAATTTTTTATTCATTGCTTAGGAGCTTGTTTTAACCCATAAAGAGATTTTACAAGCCGACAAACTTTCTTTTCTTACCCTGGCACTACAACCCGTTCGGGTTACTCCATATAGATCTCTTCATTTAGATCACCGTTTAAGAAAGCTGTCTTAACATCCATTTGATGTATCTCTAAATTATACAATGCTGCTATAGCAATAAGCATGCAGATAGATGCTATTCTTGTCACAGGGGAATATGTGTCAAATAGTCTAGACTTTCTTTTTGTCTATAACCTTTTATCACA